TAAGATTGTTTTAACTTTTAAATGAGATTAGGCACAGAGCCAGCAAAGCACAGATCTAGCATATAGCAAGTGCTTAATGCATGGTTACTTTTCTTATGACCTTCCATCCCTACATCCACTATTCCATCCCTGTATCACTGCCCAGCGGTGGAGCAAGGCTTCCCTCTGTCCAGTAGGCTAACTGGCTCTAATTTAGCCCTCTGATACCTCTGTAAGCCTATAATGGGTCATCCCTCTCTTCTTTGAGGCACTCCACAGCAAGGGGAGGGGAGAAGAAATGCCTAATACTCTCAAAAATTTGCCTTCATTTTTGTGTTTTTCTGCATTAATTTTATCCCTCTTTCCCTGGGATGGACCCATGGCCAAAGCTCAAGTTTCACTCTTATCCGATTCATAGGAGGAATGAACAAATGCTCTCAGACTGAAATGGACTGCTTTCTGTCTTCACAGGCTTCACTTATCATCCCCAGTGCTCCATAATTTGTGGCTTAGTGCTCAGCATGAAAACTTCTTCCTGTAAATAGTTGCAAAACCCAAAGCTACCCACATCTGATCTCTTGACATCACTTTTTTCTCACCCTTTTAAGTCCAGAGAACTTAATCTTCATCCATTCTTCATCTGCTTTACCTTTGGTTACACCCAGAGGGTCATTAACTCAACCCCACCCTTGAGAAATTAAATATGACAGTTTGCCTTCTAGCCACAGCCTCCATAAACTGTTGGTCATGATCTCCACCCCTATTAGTCAATGTTTTGCTTAAACTTTGACCTCTAAACATGCAAATGCTTGCACCTTTGAATAGTCCTTGAGAAACTGCTGGAATACTTGACTCTTAGAAGACTTGCCACTTCCTAACATGGTCTTTATGGTCCTCTCAAATCTTTGATGTACTCATTCACACACCATAAAATCACTGTTCTTCATCTGTCCCTCAGTGGCACAATGGGCTTCGAGAGAAATGTGCAGTAAGTTACGAACTGAATCTCCTAAAATCTAGTGTTGACTTTGTCTAGGGGCCATGAATCTTTATGTCCATTGTTGACTGTCTGACATATTCCATCAACGTCTGTGCTAGGCCTTGTTCATCCTTCTCAAACTACCATACAAACCCAATTCTTCCACTGCAAAAAGCAACTCTAGAACTAACAGCCAAAGCCTACCTTGCAATGAGTCTCCCTCGTCCTTCCATCCTTACCTTTCAAATTATCAGTCTCCACATTCATCAGTTCATCTCTGTCTCCTGTTTTATCTGTGTTTTTATTCTTATTTCCTACTGTCATGTGGGCCTCTAGTCAACCACTGTCCACCATGTAACTTAGAGCTCTTCTTCTTCCCTTTGCCTTTAATTAAGATGCTCAGTCTTTCCATGACCTCAGCTTCTGCTGTTACTCTCTTCTCTTTTATAAGCAAACATCCAAAAACTGATTGTGTGACCCTGTATTTCCACATTATCCTGGTCACCCTTAGATTCCATTCCTTCTCCTCTTTACTGAAGACATTTTCAAACTGCAATAAATATACCTCATCTAGAAATATAATGGCTTTTCTCAGTATTCATTATCTTTAAACTTTATAGCAAACAATGAAACTTACAATTACCTTTTCTTATTAGAGCAGTCACTTCACTTCTTTTCCATGACTGAACTCTGTGTTGTGTTCTCCATAATTGGTATCATGATCTTGGAAAGATTACTTCAATCCTCTAAGTTTCAACTTACTCACAGGTAATAAAAATTCCTTCTAGGCTGGGCATGGGAGTACATGCCTGTAATCCCAGCTACTCACGAGTCAGAGACAGAAGGATCACAGTTGAGGTCAACTGGGCAGGTGGGAGAGAGGGAGGGGTGGATTTAGCAAGACCCTATCTCAAAAAATAACCCAACTATGGTGGTGCCTTCCTGTGGTCCTAGCTAGGAGGCAGAGATAGGATGATGGTGGTTCTAGGCCAGCCTGAACAAAGTTAATGAGAGACTATCTGATAAACAAACTAAAAGCAGAAAGGAGTGGGGAAGTGGTTCAAGTGGTAGAGTGCTTGCCTAGCAAGCTTAAGGTTCTGAACTCAATTCCCAGTGCTGCAAAGAAAATTAAAAATTGCTTCTTCACTGACTTGTCATGAAGATCTACATTCAATATCATTAGTTAAAATATATCAAGATTTGATTAGGAGTTTTGTATCCTATACACAGTGTATGTACATATGCACACACACACACACACACACAATCACCACACAGATAACAGATTTATGTTATATTTACAGCCATGAGTTGCATAACAATGTTTCAATTGACAACACACCACAGAGGACTGTGATCCCATAAGATTAAAGTGAAGCTGAAACCTTCCTATCACCTAGTGATGTTGGAGCTGTCGTAATGTTGTACTGCAAGGCATTAATCATGTTTGTAGTGATGCTAGTGTAAAGAACTCTACTGCATGCACTGCAGGTCATATGAAGGCATAGTATTTATTACTACATACAGGAAAGAATACTGGTAATGATAATGAATGACTATGTTACTGGCTTATGCACTCACTATACAATACACGTTTTACTATTTTAGAATTTACCCCTACTATACAAAGAAAGTTTACTTTAAAACAGTATACTATCTTATGGCAGGTGCAGCCTCACACATATCTGGTTTGCTGTGGCTCTTAATTGCTTTGTTTTCTTTTGTGATTGATTTAATATCATGTTCTTTTATTCAGGTAGCCCTTTCAGAAAAAGGCCCTTTCTACACTATATATATATAGTATACACACACATATATATAGTCATATACCCATTACATATAGCGTATACATATGAATGTATGTATGTGTATATATATATACCCATATAATTATAGTTATATATATATATATATATATATAATATAATAACCTAGGTGTGTAGGTTGTAGCAACTAGGTTTGAGTAATTATACTCTGTGGTTTTACCCAACAAAATTGCAAAATGACACATTTCTCAGAGCATAGCTCCCATTGTTAAGTATGTGGGTGTATATATATAAAATTTCACGGAACAGTAAAAAACACCTTGTGAGTTAAAGATTATTTATGCTGAAATCACCATAAGAAAGGTACTAAGCTAGAAAGAAGAAAAACAGAGGAGATCAATTTGAGTTACAATACATGGAAGTGCCACAAAGAAACTCCCTGTGTAAGTACTTTAATAAAGCAAAAATGTCATTTTTTTCTTTTACAAAATTGGAGAACAGGAGGACAGAACAGGTCCTGCCTGGGGGCTGGAGGGGGTGGTCCCAGTGGGAGGAGGAAGGAGGTGGGGAAAGGGTGTAGGAGGGTGAATATGGAGCAAATACTGTGTATACATGTATGTAAATGGAAAAATGATACTGTTGACACTATTCCAGAAATGGGAGGAGGAAAGATAAAGAAGAATTAGGGAGGGGATGAATGCAAGTATGCTATATTTGATATATTGTAAGAATTTTTGTAAATGCCACAATGTATTTCCACCCAGCACAACAATTTTAAAAAAAGATTATTTCAGTTTCAGAGATGAGAAAATAAAGTAGCTGGTTAACCTACATATTCAAAGGTGCACAGTCACATTTTTTAGAGGACAATTTCAAATGAGAGTCATTGGATTCAATGATCATTTTCTTAACCACAAGATTATATCATCTCCTAAAAACATAGAGTCCACATTTTAGGGAGTCCTGCCATGTCATTTATTATTTGCTTAACATTTTTTATAGATGCGGTGCTTCCAGATCTATTAAAATAAACATGATAAGCAATAGACTAATAGAACAGAGTCTACTGCCTTCCCTTTGGTTTTCATGTCGTCCCTGAGTTCCCTAGACAAATAGCAACCATTTGTACAATTGTGCTTGGAGAATTCAGTTTACAATCCACCATCAGCAATCCATAGAACTGGCTCTTAGTTCCTCATCAATAATATTAATAGTCAGGATAGCATAATCAAATGCACTATGCTTTATAACAGACTTTCACATAAATGAATGCAATGATATAAATCTTGTGGCTGGCAATAGATCCTACTGGAGAGGGAATGAAATTCAAACTAGTCTCTTTGCTGTTTGCCACCTGCCTCCAATTCACCCCCATCTGGCTTTCAAGGGACAAACTAAGATAGATCACATTCATTCTGTAACCTCTATTAGGTGAGACCATATGACAGCCACAGAATACTGAGGGAAATGATAGCAGTGCCACTTCTGGGTTGGAACATTTATTTTATTGCTGAAAAGGGAAATCCTTAGGATTTCTTCAGTTCACCTAATATCAATATCCCAAACAGTGGCTATTCTTTCACCCCAAACCATAAAAAAACCAATGCAGCACCATCAGCTGACCATTTTAGCTTGTGTGAGAAACAAACTTGTATTATTTTAAGTCACAGAAGACAATCTGTATAAATCTCTTGGAATTACATGTTACCACAATATGACTAAGCCTTGCTAAAATGACTTATCCAAAATCACACAGCTAGAAAATGTCAATGCCTTTCCCCAAGCCTCTTGAATGCTTCCTTTCAGCAGGTTTCATTAGTTCATTGTTTGTAAAGTAAAATCATACTTTCCCAGGAGCTGAAACATAAATGCAGGTACAGTCTGGGTTTAAAATCTTCCATTTGGGAAAATAAAGGAAGCTTGAAATTTTCCCTTAGTTCACAACTAAGCCAAGCAGCTTAAACTTAATATCTTTTATGCGAAGTTTAGAGTTCTAAGCAACAGTCCCCACCTATGGGACAGGCAGGAAAAATACTCACCTCAAATATCCTGTTGGTCAGATATGAATTAAGCAATTAAGTTTCAAGGACTGCAACACCACTCAGGGTGTGACATGTTTTGGGATCCTTTCAGGGTCAACACTGACTCTGGATGACCTCACAGTAAAGGTGGAGAAACCAAGGCTTGGCATATAAACGTGGTCCATTTCCTAGGATATGGCATATTCAATTGCATGACAATCTCAGAGCAGCCCCTGCATCACAACCATCTCCACCATGAAGATCATTGTGGGGCTCCTTCTGCTCTGTGCAGTGACCCATTTCTGCAGCAGCTCAGGTGAGTGAGGGGAAGACAATTATCCCATACAGCCATTAAGCTTGTTTTCCCCCAACAATCTCTCCTGGAATGGGAGCATCTAAGAGAAATATCCAGTTACGTAGATTTAAAGAGTGCTGGTTTATAATAGAAACAGCTCTAGCCTGGGAAGGGAGAGACTTGTATTCTGGCTATAGTTTGATGGGATTGGGTCTAATGCCTTCCCTTTCAAGGATTCACACTTGCATCCATGGACCAAAGACAAACAAAAATTTAATTTTTCCATAAGTTATCCATTTCATAAGAACACCGTAAGTTGTCAGTGTTATTAAATGCTATTCCTCAGTGTAAAGATGTAGAAAAATGTAGGTGTTTTCCCAAATCAATATAGGAGGATCAAAATAAAATATGCTGCTCCAGAGGCCAGAAGTCAACAATTCAACTTTCATACGGTAAAAATAAAGTGCATAATTAAGATAAGTTTCTAGCACTTTAAAGACTTTCCATTATATTACTTTATATCGATTAGAAGGTAGAGGCTATCAATGGTGGGCTTCAGGCTCTCATGAGTGGTAACTGCAATACTTATTGTTACTGGTTTTAGACCATTACCAGAAACACTATAAGCTCCAGAAAATCGCCCCTTTACCAAAAAAGGGGGGACAGTTAAATAATTCTCTTTCCTGAACCAAGGGCTCACCTGACCTGCTGGCCACTCACCTTTCTCAGCATGAGCATGGGAGTGTCCTGAGACTCATTGCCAGAAGTGCAGAGTCTTTAGTTAGAGGAGAAAACTAAATTAATTAATGAAATTCCAGTCTTTGATTTATTTTCTAATATTTCTATCTGTATCTGTGTTTCAGAAGTTACCAGTCAGCCTTTAACAAGGGTGAGTATGTTGAATACCATTTTAATTTCAACCCCTATTAGCTATCACATAGTCACTAAATACTTACAAATCATAAACACATGGTTAACTCAGTAGGCTTTAAGGAGAGCAAAGCGGGAGACAAACATAGGTAAAGAAATGTATCTGACCTCCAGAAGGCAGAGGAAGAAATATGACATAAATATAAACAACCAGGTCCTAAAATTAGTTTTAATCCATAGCTAAAGGTGAGAGTTGACTTTCAGTTGAGAGATTGCTTACATTTTCATAGAAAGGGCCATATATGAGAGGTGGGGCAAAAGTAACTTGATTAACCACATATGTTCTAGAATTAAATCCTAACTCTACCATACTTATCAGAATTTACCCTATATGAGTTAACATCTCTTTCTAAGCTTTAATGTCCCCATCTTTAAATAAAGGGCCTAGTAGAAGCTACCCTATTCAATTGTTCTAAATATTAAACAAAGAATACTCCTATAAGATTAGTGTTAATTGCCTTGCACTTCCATCTGTTAACTCAGCATACTAGCAAAAATAGAAAGGGTACTCATAGTACTAGTATTTGTCACAGTCACATATTATTATGACTTATAAACATTAAGCATTAGAACAGCATTAGAACATCTGAGCTGAAACTTCCAGTTTTGTAGCCTGTCCAATAGAGCCAGGGTAGCCTAACTTGAGATCTGGCAGAAAAGAAGGACATGTTCTTGTGTCTGACCAGGTGGACTGCAGCAGTTACAAGAAGTATTCTGTGATGGCCATCCCCTGCCCCATCACATATCTGCCAGTGTGTGGTACTGACTACATCACCTATGGGAATACATGCTTGTTGTGTACCAAAATCTTGTAAGTATGTCATGAGAAGAAAAAGTGGTCCAGGGCTAGTTTTCTCCACTTAAACTTCCCCATCCCCAGTCCAGGATCCTACTTAACTCTCCACAAGCTGTACCTATTCCCACTTAGGCAGAAATCTGTCTGTAGCTCAGTCAAGTCAGCACTGGGTCAGCTGCTCTGCCAAATTGAACTGTTCTCAATTCCATCACCAATCCTCCAATACCTGTCAATTGTGGGTATATAGCAAGACCATGAGTTTTAGAACTGCTGTTCTTATAGCCCAGTGGTTCTATAGAGGCAAGTCAGGAGTCACCAAAGGGGTTAAGGGAACCATTTGGGGTGGTCCCCAATCATGACTGTTTTTAAGTAGTGGAGTTCCAGAACAAATGGTCCTTAACTTTATACCAAAAAAGTAATAGCAAAATATACCAAAAGAGTAATACCTAAAACCAAAAAATAAAATCGCTACCCTACATAAGTTCTAAGATATTTAACCACCATAATATAGCTTCATTCTTAGACAAACTGTGATTCAAGATCCTTTATTCTCAACTTCCTATCTGTAGCCTGAAGGGGAAACCAATAAAACTGTTGGTTTTCTTTCATCTAAAATAAAGAATACAAGCTGAATTCCCTGGACGAGGCATCGTTTGGCCTGTTCAGTTTTTTTGAAGAAATGTAATCAGGCAGATGTCACTTTTTTGATGCAAGACATGCAACTTAGCACTTTCTGTCGCCTACCAAGCCCACTTTGTATCATTGTTAACTATATTTTAAGCCACTGGATTTTGACTACTTAGCTTAGATTTTGTGCTTTCATCTGTGTGATTATCTTAGTAAGTTAGAATACCACTGACTAGGTCTGAGCCCAGAAGGATAGGTCTATAAATTTATTTCTGTTTTGGACTTTTTATGCCAAAAAAGGGAAGATTCTATAACATATACACATACTGGGCTCTTGGCTAGGAAATTAGCTATGTCCAAGGGACATTGAGAGAGAAACATGGTGGAGGTCCTCCTCACAGCTTCATCACAGGCCTCTGGATAAAAGAAGCTGAGGGAAAGGCCACCCCAATTCCCTTTGCCAGAGTCTTCTTCACTGGGTGATCTGCAGGGCTCTGGGATCAGCAGAGGCAGGGATGTTCTACTCCAGTCTCTGTCAGAGACTGCCTGTGGCAAGGACATGGCTTTTCTGAAACTCAGTTTTCTCATCTGTAAACTGAGGTTCTACCTTATAATCTTTATTATGAAGCTCTTTTTAGCTCTTATATTACATAGTATTTCCTCTGGATCAATGAATCTTGTTAACCATGTCTTCCCTTAGGAAAAGTAATGGAAAAGTTCAGTTGCTTCATGAAGGACAATGCTAATTACTCCATGGACATGGTGGAGTGCAGTGCAATCCTCATCACCTTTATCATGCCTGGGCTCTGACTGACTTCCATCTTTGCTTCAGAGTCATCTTGGTCAAATGGAGGCAGTTGCTGTGCTCTTCCCTATGAACTCATGCCTCACTGACAGACTGGCTTCTTTTTACACCTGAATAAAAAGACTCTCCCCAGAAAGTCTATCGTTACTTCTGTTAGTATTTTTTTCTACTCTAATATAGTATCTCATTTACAAAAGAAAATTGAAAAACATACATTTTTTGTTATTCAGGAGAAATTTGTACAAAGACTTCCAAGTAACTTTCAAAAAAACATACAGAGAGAGAGAGAGAGGAAGGGAGACAGAGAGAAGAAATAAAGAGAAAGAGTGCTGCCAGTAAACTCCTTACCTTCTCCTACAGTCTTTATCTACTAAAAAGTAGCATTTGGACCATAGTGGTTCTTTATGTTGTGACTCTTTTCCAAAGTTCCCTAAACGGAAACCTCTCTCATTCCAAGATGGAAGGTTTTAATGCCCATTTCTTTCGAGGAGCATATCATGATTTCTCTGGGCCTACATCTATAGAATACAGATGGAAAAGTTACAACTCCATGAGGACACATATCCATTGCTGTTGGTGTCTGATTGTTGGGATATTGTACTTGTTCAGAGTTGAAAACTATGTTGACAAGACCATAAGACCATCAACTATCAGAGCCAGTGAAACCACAGCACAAAGAAGTTGATTCTTTCTTCTAATTAACAGAATTTTAAATATTTGAAGATGAATACTAAATCTCCATAAAATTAAATTTCTTCAGGGTAAAAATCTCCACTTAATTCAACCACAAAAATTGGATATGATGGACAAGTTAACCTAATTTAATCTTTCCACAATATATACATGCATCAAAGTATCACTTTGTACCCTATAGATATGTACAATTATTTCTTGTCAATTGAATTGAAATAGAACTTTAAAAAATTTACCATAAATGTAAGAGTTTAATTTTACTGTCATCTCTACTACATTCATCTATATTTTATCCTTATGCCACATTGTTTTGATTATTTTAACTTTGTAATAAATTTTGACATTGAGTCCTCCAACTGCTCTCTTTTTCAAGATCATTTTGGACAAATTTGGGTATTCTGGGCAAGTTGTATTCCCGTAAAAATTTTAAAAATAGTTTGTCCAGTTTTCCAAAAAAGGCAGTTGAGATTTGGTAGGGTTTGCATTGACTCTGCAGGCCAATTTAAATGGAGATTATCACTATCTTAACAACAAGAAGTCTTGCTGTTCTTGGATTGCATCATTTTGCTATTAAGGCATTGACACAGATGGCAAAACTTGAGTGGAATCTTCAGATGAAGAGCACATATGAAGTTCTTTGGTCCATTCTTACAATAGTGATTTCAAGTTTAAAAAATGACCTAAGTTGAAATGTGTCCGTACAGATTGTCGTGCAAGGCAGGTATTAGTAACCTGGTAAACCTGTTCCTAGAAATGAAGCCAATCCCTAAGAACACACGCTGCAGGCATGAGGACTTGGGCAGGACAAGCTACACTGGCTGAGTTCTGTGGTAAAGTCTCAAATAAGCCACAAGATTCTTCCCATTTCCCCATATCCACACACATTGAAAATATATCAAGATTCCTTTGTAAAAGGAGTCCCAATTTCATGGTGACATTCTAAGATTTTGTTTTGATTTGTTTTTCAGTATAAGCTCTGAGCTGCCAAAAGTTCTTTCTTACATAAAAAGAAGACTGTACTGTGCTGAAAGACATTTCTGAAGTACTCAAGTGATTTCATGTCACGAAATTCCTGGTTCCTGAATTTTGCAATAATTCTTTCCCCATAAGTTAGCACTTAACCCTTATAGACTCTGGAATCAATTTTCACCAGAAGCAGGAAAGGCTTAAACAATTGTCATCCTAGCCAGCCTAATTCTCACCAGAGACACTTTTATGTTAGTCATCCTCTGACTTAGAGCGTGAACTCAGGGGTTCCTGCTTCTAAGCAAGCACTCTATTGCTAGAGCCATGCCTCCAGCCCTTTTTACACTGGTTGGTAATAGGGTCTCCAGAAACAATTTATTTAATGATTCCTGCCGCAGCTGGGATAATGGGTGTGTACCACTGCAACCAGTTTTTTTCCCATTGGGATGGAGTCTCACAAACATTTTTACCCATGCTGGCAAAAATGTTTCTTCCTGAATTTAGCTTGAGATGAGAAGCACATATCACCGTGCCCACCTATTGGTTGAGGTGGGGGGGGTCTCAAAAACTTTTCTCCTGTGTCGCAAACCTATCATGATCTTCTTGATCTCATCCTCCCAAGTACCCAGGATTACAGGTGTGAGCCACCCAGTGCCCAGCCTGTGTGTAAAACCTTGAGATTCAGTTCCCTTCTTGGACTTTAGTGTAGGCCTTATTCTTTTGGCCCTGAGCACTTCCTGTTACAGTCCTGGAACTCTATGTTAACTTGCACTTTCTAGACCATCCTCTCTTTCTCCACTTTTCCCTTCTGAATTACATTCTTATAACCAGAGTTGAGTGTTATGAGGCTCTAATCTGAACAGCTCCCTCAAGCAGGACTTACCTGAGAGAATTTGTTCATAGAGTACAAAAGGTTACCAATTATGCCATGCTGGATCTAAACATCTGGTATTTATCTGGCTTTTTTTTTTCTGCTATGACCTTAACCAGTCAATAGGACTGGTTTACCAATGTCAGGAGAAGCTAGAGTTTTTGACACAGATTACTCTGGATTCCAATGCAAATTAAGTCATTTAATGGTCTTTTCTAGCTTCTGTACTAGATGAGTTTCTATAATAGATAAGGAAAAGAACATTTGGAAGATCACAGCTGGAATGGGGGTGCATAGGCAGCAGTAAACAACAGAGTTGCAAGTTCGCCTAAGTATTTGAAAGATTTCTCAAGAACAAATTATACATTTTCTTGCCTGATATCTGTAGTTCTATTGGACTCTCCTCAAGAACGCCATAGATTATTCTAAAGTTGTACTAGGTTGAATAGTTTGGCTCACCATAAAAGGAAAATTGGGAAGGGCAGGGAAACTCCTAAATAACCAGCATTACTTGGATATTTTTATTTAGTCTCTGAGATGATCCATGAAAATGTAGACAGTAAGTAAAGGTCACCTTCTCTCATGGTCAAGAAATGATACCGTTTAAGTCAAAAATGGGACATTGGAGATTATGTATACAAATGTTTTACCACACCAGAAAAACATAAAATAGTAAAAATAATTATTTTTTTAATTAAAGAGAAATCTTAAATAGGGCTCCCATAGGAAAAAAAATTATAACATGAAAAATTTCTCTTGTTTTGCCTCCTAATGACAAAATTTTGTCATAATCTAATTCTGGAATTTGGGAACTTCTCATGTAGAATAGTGATCTTCAAAGTATTCCAACTAGCTTAGAGGGTTTCATGAGCATGAGTCAGAGGTCATTGTAGGATAATGAGAACTAGGAACCAGGCTATCACATTCCCACATTCTCACTTCAACTAACAGAGCCCCTCTGTTTAATACATTGTGTTTCTATGTAACACCTAACTCTTATATACTTGCATAACTTATTTAATGTCTTTTACTTCACTTCATTTGTGAAGTCTTGGCTGTAATATTCGTCTAAGAAATTTGTTTCAAAATTTTAATGAGTTCATACAGATATAGCAGTTATAATAGTTCCTGATATTTAATACATGCACAGCAAGTATTCTTCTTTTCATTCCAATTATTATTAAAGAACATGTTTTGCTACTTAAAAAGAAAAGTTTGAAATCCTCATGCTGAATAAAGGAATTATTTATTAAGGGTTCCTGACAGGTATTTACCTGACTGCCAGTGAGAAACCTAAAATAACAAGTGCTCATTACCCCCAGCCATTGTCAAACATCTCTGACCATCAGTTCCTTTTCCTATCATTCCAAGATATATTATTTCCAATAAAGTCACGAAAATATATAAACGTTTAAAAATACTCTCAAAGTGCTTTCTGGATCTTTTCTTCTCTAAATCTGTGTCTCCATCATCAACCTTTTCATCATGGTCACTGTCAACAAATACTAACATTTGTTGAGAATTTTTTATAAGTTAGCTCCAAATAAGTGCTTTACATATAAAATCCAATGAAAACTCACAGCAAGCTATGAAAACGGTGTGACGTTGACTTTATTCTAAAATCTTGCTAAAAATTATTCTGACATTTACTGAGGCAACAAGGAAGACATTATGCAAGACTATTACAATAGGAGTATCGTAATAGAAGGCAGACTTTGGGCTCAATTCCACATACTAGGACAAATAGGAATTTATAGTCAAGGAGAAAAGAACGTGGATCTGTGAAAGGAAAATTACTTAGAGAAGCCATCAAGGGTAGGGGGATTCTTATTAAACTGACCTAACAGGATTCTTACTACTGGCAGGTCAAGGGTTTGTATATCAGAAGTGGAGGAAGAGGAACTCAATGAAATATCAAGAATGATCACATATCAAAGGTGTTGGGATGATTTAGCAAGATTCTTTTCTAAGACTAACCAAGTAAGCCAAACACAGAACAAGGGCCAAATCAAAGCCTAGGAAAGAAGAGGGGTCAGCAAAGATATCCAAAACATATGATGTAGAAGAGATACCCGCTTCAACAAATGTTGCTGGGAAAACTGAATATCTGCATGTAGAAACTGAAACTAGATCCATGTCTTTCACCCTGTATAAATATCAATTCCAAGTGGATCAAAGACCTTAATATAAAACCTGATACTTTGAACTTAGTACAGGAAAGAGTAGGGAATACACTGGAACACATAGACAAAGGAGGCAACTTCCTAAATAGAACTCCAGTGGCTCAGCAATTAGGAGACAAGATTGACAAATAGAACTACATGAAACTAAAATGCTTCTGCAAGCAAAGGAAATGGTCACCAGACTTAAGAGACAGCCCACAGAATAGGAGAAACTCTTTGCCAGCTATA